GAGACCTGGAGTCACCAAACAAATAAATAAATACTTTTAAGAAATACCACTACTGAACTGTCCTCCGTGAAAGAAAGTTGTTTGAATTTACATTCCCACCAACAAAATATGAGAGTACCTGTTAAAACCACCACCACCACCACCACACAGTCTTATGAGTCTTATAGATCCTTGTCAATCTGATAGGTGAAAAATAATATTCCAAAAAAATTCTAATTTGCATTTCTCTTATCCTGGGCAACAGTGAGCATTTAAGAGCCATTGCTATTAATGTTTCTTTTTCTGGGACTATTAGTTCACTTCTTTGCACTTTTTCCTCTTGCATTTTGGTTCTTATAGCTTTAATCTTTTTATATAAATATGACAATCACCCATTTTCTTATGATACAAACTGCAAATACATATACATATATATTTATATATAGCCATTTTCATCTCACTGTTCTTATGGTGGTTTTGCAGTGCAGATAATTTTTATTTCCACATAGTTGTATTTATCCATCTTTTATAGCATCTACATTTTGTTTTATACTTTAAAAGATATTCCTTACTTTGAGATTATAAAAACTGCCATGGTCCCTTCAAAAACATTTTGGTTTCTTTTCTTTCCTTTTTAAAATCGTTGATATGATAACCCTATATGCAAAACAGAAAAAGAGACTCCGATGTATAGAACAGACTTGTGGACTCTGGGAGAAGGCGAGGGTGGGATGTTTCAAGAGAACAGCATCGAAACACGTATATTACCTAGGGTGAAACAGATCACCAGCCCAGGTTGGGTGCATGAGACAAGTGCTCGGGCCTGGAGCACTGGGAAGACCCAGAGGGATTGGGTGGAGAGGGAGGTGGGAGGGGGGACCGGGATGGGGAATACATGTAAATCCATGGCTAATTCATTTCAATGTATGACAAAAACCACTGCAATGATGTAAAGTAATTAGCCTCCAACTAATAAAAAAATAAAAATAAAAATAAAAAAATTAAAAAAAAAATAAAAAATAAAATCGTTGATATATTTTAAATTTCTCCTGAATAGTGAGGTGTAGATCCAAGTTAAATTTTTCTAAATGGCTGTCCATTTATTGTAACACCGAAAATAGTGCCACTTTTTTTTTTTTACTGACTTGAAATTTTATCTTTATCATACAAAATTATCAAGTATATTTGGATGTACTTTTGGACTTTTTGTTCTATTTCATTGAATAGAGGTCAATTGTGGCTCCACTCTTTGTTGATGGCAGAGTCCTGATTTTTTTATGGTGATTTTCCACCACTACCATTGGTTTCTTTTCTTTCCTTTTAAAAATCTTGATATATTTTAAATATATTTAAAATTGGGTCTTCAGGGAAGGTGATCCTCAGATCGAATACAAACAATAAATCATTATTGGTCTAAGCTAATACTAGTGGCCTTATTTCTTTTTTAAAATATTTATTTATTTACTTGGCTGCTTTGGGTCTTAGTTTCAGCATGTGGGATCTAGTTCCCTGACCAGGTATCGAATCCAGGCCCCCTACACTGGGTACTCAGAGTCTTATCCACTAGACCATCATGGAAGTCTCTCCCTTTTCTATTTGTTGGTCTATGCATGGCCAGTAGACTTGAGAAGAACCATACTGAATGGCTACTAGGAATAATAAAAATCTATTATACATACAAAGGGGGATGTTTACAAGTTGGCAGTTGGACGTTTAAGTCTGAAATTCAGAAAAGAGGTCTGGAAATGGAAGTGTCCTTTGGGGGATTATCACTACTTAGATTGTATTTTTTAAAAATGTGATAGGATAAGATTATCAAGGAGTGTTTATAAATGGAAAAGGCAAGAGGTCAAAGTATTGAGCCCTGGGGCACTGCAGTATTTAGAGGTCAGAGAAACGTGGAGAGATGAAGAGCAGCCAGTAAGGCAGAAGAAGAACCAAGGGAATGGAGTGTCATGTGGGCAAGGAGGAGGAATTGATTAGCTAAGTCTATTGCTCCTGGTATGTCAAGTAACAATGACCATTGATTTTTGTGAGTAAATGGATGTCACGGGTGTCTCTTGACAAGAGCATTTCAGTGGAGTGGTGGAGGTGAAAGCTCAACTGGACAGGGTCCCGTAGGAGATTGGAGAAAGGAAGTGAAGACAGTATAGTACTGGCCACCTTTATGAGACATTTTGCTGTGAAAAAGAGCAGAGAAATGGGGTAATAGTTGGGGGGGTCCAGCCCAGTCAAGAGGGTTTTTGTTTTGTTTCAAGATGGAAGAAATAAATTTATTTTGGTATGTCAATGGGAAAGAAAAACCATGATGTAGATGAGGAGAACTGCTGGATAGAAGACTTAAAGAAAGTCAAACAGTAGCACAGTAGCACTGTCCCACTCAAAGTGCGATCTGTGTACTAGTGATGGCCCACAAAGCTTGTCACCAGTTTGTGACAGAAATTGAGAGTACATATTTAGAAACTTTTATCACAATTTGACAGAAACATGTTATGTCTATTGGATCTAATAACAGCAACAAAAAAATCTGACCTGGAGTGGTCAAATTCTTAGACAGAAAGTAACATGGTGGTTGTTATGATCTGAGGTGAGGAGGAAATGAAGAGTTATTGTTTAAAGAGTACAGAGTTTTGGTTTTACAGGATGACAAGAACTCTGGAGCTGGATGATGGTTATGGTAGAACAGTAATGTGAAGGTATTTAATGCCACTGAACTCTATACTTAAGAGTGGTTGGGAGGGTTAAAAAAACTATATCTGGGCTTGCATTTTTATATGTCTGTTTTTAAATTTTAATTTTTCTAGTAATTTTTATCATATTTTATAAAAATAAGGTTTATGGCTAATTGGGGGGAGAAAACAAGTTTTTTTGCACAGATAGTGTGAGAAGAATTGAGGAGGGTTTGACCTTAGCTAAAAGGTAAATAGTTCCTTTTAGTAAGCAAAGGAAGGCAGAGTATAACAGCACAGTCAGGAGCATAGCAGAGGTATAGGTAGGTTGGAGGTCATGGCAGTGGTGGGAACCTAGAGAATTTTTTTTTGCTTGTTTCATTTTCACAGTAAATTGGAAATGAAATCATCAGGTAAGTGAGAAGCTTTGGAAGTTTGAAGAGAGATTTTTGACATAGTCACCCAGTGGGGAGGGGGAGTGATGGAACTGGAGAAATGTAGTAGGAGAGCCAAGCATTAAGGGCTTATTTGACAATAATGATATCGAATTGTAGGTGGAGGTCAGTCAGTAGGATTTCAGATTTTTCTCTACTCTATCCCATTTTGCTGCAGATTTAGGATTAAAGTTTCCTCAGGTGAGTATAGGGAACAGAAAGAATTAGAGAAATGAAGGTGAATACCTAGGAAAGATTTTCATAATGGACGTAGAAGCTAAGCTGTTCATGAAAAGAAATGAGGATACAGGATAGTGTGAAGAACAGTGAAAAATGTATTAGGACAGCAGATTCTGAGTCTTGGTAGACTTGATCAGTTTTGGAGCTGGGTATTAGAAGAAGTGAGCTAGAAAGGAAGGTGGTTAATGTGGGAGAGTTGATGATTAAAATTGAGATTATATTAATAGATTTCAGCACAAGCTGGAATCAAGATTTCAGGGAGAAATATCAATAACCTCAGATATGCAGATGACACCAGCCTTATTGCAGAAAGCAAAGAACTAAAGAGCCTCTTGGTGAAAGTGAAAGTGGAGAGTGAAAAAGTTGGCTTAAAACTCAACATTCAGAAAACTAAGATCATGGCATCTAGTCCCATCACTTCATGGCAAATAGATGGAAAGCAATGGAAACAGTGACAGGCTTTATTTTCTTGGGCTCCAAAATCACTGCAGATGGTGACTGTAGCCATGAAATTATAAGACACTTGCTCCTTGGAAGAAAAGTTATGACCAACCTAGACAGCATATTAAAAAGTAGGAAAAAAAAAAAAAGTAGAGACATTACTTTGCTAACAAAGGTCCATCTAGTCAAAGCTATAGTTTTTGCAGTAGTCATGTATGGATATGAGAGCTGGACTAAAGAAAGCTGAGCACTGAAGAATTGATGCTTTTGAACTGTGGTGTTGGAGAAGACTCTTGAGAGTCCCTTGGACTTCAAGGAGATCCAACCAGTCCATCCTAAAGGAAATCAGTCCTGTATAGTCATTGGAAGGACTGATGTTAAAGCTGAAACTCCAATACTATGGCCACCTGATGAGAAGCACTGACTCATTGGAAGGAACCCTGATGCTGGGAAAGATTGAAGGCGGGAGGAGAGGGCGGGAGGATGAGATGGCTGGATGTGATCTTCAACTCAAAGGACATGAGTTTGAGTAAACTCCGGGAGTTGGTGATGGACAGGGAAGCCTGGCGTGCTGCAGTCCATGGGGTCGCCAAGAGTCGGACACGACTGAACGACCGAACTGAACTGAACTACAGTTATTGGAAATAAGAACAAAAGTATGAGCAGGGAAATGAAAAGCTGAGGCAAGGGTGGTCCCTAGTGGAGAAGACCATGAGAAGTTATGGCATTGGAGGTATCATCTAAAATAAATGAAATGATCAAGAATTATGATAATGGTAATTAATGGCAATGAACCAGAAGCACAGCGGTCTGTAGGTTACCGAAACGAGTGACTGCTCTAGTCTCCTGTTAGGACGTATATTTAAGGTTTTTAGTTTTAAAGCTCTGGTTATTTGAGGAAGTGCAGTTCCATAAAAGGCCTGGGAGGTCGAAAAGCCACAGAACCGGAGCGGGGCGGTAGCTTTTGTCGGAACTCCTCCGCCGAGACTGCGCAGTGAGAGCGGAGGCGGGGCCAACCGTGGGCTCGCGGGCGAGGGCGGGGCCTTGGGGGCGGAGTCTGATCTCCGGGTTGGGCTGCGGCTGCGGCTGCTGCACTTCCAGCTTCTGAGGCCAGGAGGCCGAGGCCTGGGCCAAGCCCGGAGCCGCCGCTCGTCGGAGCCTCCTGGAGCCCCCGCGCAGGCTCAGCCTGGGGGCGGGCTCAGGCCCGGCCCGCCGCGGAACCCAGGACAGAGGCTGCATGCCCGAGGACCAGGCCGGCGCAGCCATGGTGAGAGAGCGAGGCCTGCCTGAGCCGCGGCCGCCCGCCACCCTGGCCCCCGCGGGCCTGCCCTCCCCAACTCTGATGCCCCGTCTGCTCCTGCCTTTACCTCCCTTCCTTGTTACCTACGCCTAACTGATCCGCTCCTTCTTCCCCTTGTTTCTCGGCCACCTGCTGGGGTAACACCCCCCCCCCCGCCCACCCTCAAGCCCTCCCCCCCGCATTTCTCTCCACTCGGTGACACCCCCCTTTTTTTTAATCACCCCCCAGTGACAGCCTCTTTCGCGTTCCCCTTTGCCTCCCCCTTCTCGTCCTTTGATCCGACCTTCTTTTCTCCTCTGTGGTTTTGCCTTGTTCTCTCTTTTGGGATCTCTACACCTTCTTTCTGTTTCCTCCCTCCTTTTTGCTCCTGCTCTTTGCTCTTGCTACTTGCCCCCTCTCACCATTTTATCTCCTCTCCGTATCCTTTCTCCCCTTCGTCCTCCACCATCCACATTTCCTCTCCCCCTTATTGGATGTCCTCTCTTCCGCGCTCTCACAGCTGTCCCCATTTCCTTCTACGGGATTCAAGGGTCTAAGCAGGAACAATTTGAGGGCGGTTGCTTCCCAGGAGCTGTTGGGCGGGCAGATAGGGAGTCAGAGGCTTTCTTCTTTCTTTTCTTTTTTGTCGAGGGAAGGGGGTAGATTGGAGAGAGCCTGCAAGCCTGATTATCTAATGTCATTGCAAAAACTGAGTGATAGTGTGTTTTGGAGCGGCGGAGTGAGACGTGGGGTGCGGACCGGCATGCATACTATGGCCTTATAAGATATCTAGCTTTTTGATAGAAGTCACTTAAAATGTTTTAAACTGAATATCTGAGCATATTAAACTGAGCATCTTTTAATGTGGAAGTATAGTTTGGGAAATTTAAAAATATTTATTTACAGGCTTTTTTGTCAATCAGAACAAATGGTTTGTTTTTGTTTGGAGACTGAGACCAGGGCATATGGAGATGGAAAATCAGCTTGGCAGTCAGTTTGTGACAGTCTCCTTAGTACCTCTATTATCTTCATTTGTTTTACCCTCTCTCCTTTTAGTTGGGAGAGCCTTACATTTTCAGATTTTCACTCTCCTTCCTGTTTGAAGCTTCAGTGGATCTTTCATTGAATTGTGTTACACATGGTTTGCAGTTCATTTGATTAATCCGTTGCCCCAGCATATGCAGCAATCTAAATTTTGGTCTCTGGGAGGAATAAGACATTCTAGTCAAAACTAAGTCCTGGTAATTATGTTCTCCTAGGAGGACAGTCAATTTCTGTTTTCTCCCCTGATTTGTGAGGAGTGGTTCAAAGTTACTTAATCTGTGAACTTTCTCTAACTCACTGACTCTGCATTTTTAGGTGGTCATTCTCCAGTGTCTGCCTGCACAACAATCCTTCACATTCACAACCCATCACACTGCTATTGTATGTTAATCTGTTTCTTCCCCTGAAATGTGAGTTCTACACAGTTACTGTGCCTTACTTACTCCTGTTATTCCCAGTGCCCAGGCCAAGTAGGTGCTTGAATGATTTCACTTTATGGTGTCATTTTTCCTGTCTGACACATGTGATCTTGAACTGAAATTTGAGAAAACTAGTGGACTACTCAGAAAGAGTGAGTCTGAGATTCTTATTTTTGGTGCAGAAAGGAAATTTATTAAGATGTGACCTTTTCAGACTAAAGAGCTGTCCCAACAAATACACCAAGTGGCTAGATTTTTGAAAGTGTTAGCCTTCCCACAGAGAGTGAATGTATGAGGAGAGAGGGGGAAGTTATAAACTCCTTTTTGGGTGTTTAGGATCCAGGTGTGCCATTTGAGCTGGGCTTGAAAAGTGAATAGGGTTTATATAGATCATTTTGGGTAGCGGAAGAATGTTGTGAATGTGAGTAGAAAGTAATGAGGATGTATTGTAGGTAGGATTACTTTTATGTGGCATGAAGCATGCAGGAATGAGGATGTGTAGTAGGAAATCAGACTAGAATTAGATATATGAGACATGGTTATGGTTTAGACTTTGTCTCCAACTAACTGTATTTTTCCTTGTTAAAATACATACACACTGTGTAAAAGTATATGTATGGGAGAGTTGAAGAGAAGGCTAATTTTTAGCTTATTATTAGCTAAAAATTATTTGTGGAGGCTACTCAAAAATTTCCTTGTGTAGTAGGTGTAATAGGCACTCAATAAATAGAACCAAATATTATTATAAAGCTTTGTGTTTTATATTTTTCAAAATTTTTATTGTTAGGTTGTGTTTTGAATAGTTGATGTGTCTAAGACAGGGGTTCTCATGAATCAGAATTTTATCATGAATCAGAATTTCTTGGAGGGCCTGTGGTCTGCCACTTCTAGAGTTTGACTTATTAGGTCTGGAGTAGGACTTGAGAGTTTGCATTTCTAACAAGTACCATGTCACGCTGGTGTTCCTGATCTATAAGCCACATTTTTGAGAACCACTGGTTTAAGATGTAGTCCTTTTTATTCATCTAACAGTTTTTGGACTGTCATTGACTATTGACATTGAGGATATTGCAAGTAATAAAACAGATGTGGTCTCTGCTTTTTTGTATGTTTTGTCTGTGGACAGTATAGCATCAAGCAAAAAGAGTAATTATAAATGTGAAGAGTGCTAAAAAAGGAAAAGTGGCAGGATCATGATATGGGAAAATTAGGGATGGCTTCCCAGAGGGTCTTACTTTTAGGAGAAACCTAAGGGACTAAATGACAGGAGTTGAGTTGTGTTGTAGAAAACCTGTTTAGAAGGAATAGCATATGTGAATGACCTCTTACTGTCTGTTGTCTGCTTAACTGCATATCCTGGAGTTCTCAGCTCAAGGAAGTCAGGGAAACCCCAACTCCCCTGCCTACTCATCAAAACAAAACACAAACACTGCTAAGTCACACACTTCCTTTGTGTGAGTCTCTTTGATAGAATACACATCAATTGTAATTTTATATTTCTTGCTATGATTTTTCAGTTAATATCTGTCTCTATCTTCAGACTATAAAAATCATTGATACAGAAGTGACTTGACTAGCTTCTAAGGGCCAGGTGGTGTTCTAGGCATTGTGGTTAAAGTGGTTAAAAAAAAAAAAAGACAATAAATATATTATGAGAATAGTTGTAAATGCTAAGAAGAAATAAATCAGGGTAAGGTATAAAATTAAATATATTTGTGTGTGGAACTATTTCAAATGATATGGTTAGGCAGCAGCATTAATAGCTGCTATTTACTGAACATGACTGTGTATAAGACCTGTTTTGTGTCTCATTCTTTAACACCTACATAGCGCCTGATGCATAGTATGTGCTTAATAAATATTTGTTGAATGGATGGCTGACTTTGGGAAGGATCAGAAAGTCAGGTAGACTTTGTTGAGAAACCATTTGAGTTGGAGTTTTACCTTTTGAGGGTTTATTGGATAAGAGTTTGAGAAGGAAAGCCATTCTTGGCAAAGGGACTGGAGCATAGAAGCTGAAAGCGAAGGAGGCATGATGTATGTGGGGAAATGCCTGCCAATGGGTTCGATCCCTGGTCCTGGAAGATCCCACATGCCGCAGAGCAACTAAGCCCGTACACCCTAACTGTTAAGCCTGTGGTCTAAAGCCCGGAAGCTGAAACACCGAAGCCCACAAGTCCTAGAGCCTGTGCTCCGCACAAGAGAAGCCACAACAATGAGAAGCCTACGCACTGGCAACTAGGGAGTAGCCCCTGCTTGCTGCAACTAGAGAAAAATAAAAGCCCTTGCAGCAACAAAGACCCACATATTCAAAAATAAAAATAAATTAATTAAAAAAAATACATAAGAACTGACTTTTAACCTTAAATTAGGAATTCTTGCTTTTTTGTATTTTAAAAATCAGTAGGTCTTTTCTTAAAAATTAATTTTTATTTGACTGTAGTTGATTTACAATACTGTGTTAGTTTCTGCTCTACAGCAGAGTTATCAGTTATACATACACGTATATCCATGCTTTTTTAGATTCCTTTCCCATATAGTTCCCTGTGCTATACAGTAAGTCCTTATTAGTTAACTATTTTTTATATATATATAGTAGTGTGTATATGTTAATCCTAATCTCCCAATTTACCCCTCCCCCTTTCCCTGATGGTAACCATCAGATTGTTTTCAGTATCTGTGACTCTATTCCTGTTTTATAAATAAGTTAATATATACCATTTTTTAAGATTCCTTGAGCACTATCATATGAAATTTGTCTACTGTAGCCCTCTAGGCTCCTCTGTCCATGAGATTCTCCAGGCAAGAATACTAGAATATGTTGCCATTTCCTTCTCCAGGGGATCTTCCTGACCCAGGGATCGAACCCAGGTCTTCCGCATTGTAGACGGATTCTTTACCATCTGAGCCACCAGGAAGTGTGGTTAGTTTACTTCTAATAATGAAAATCCAAATTGGATAGAATTATCATCACATTTCCTTTTTTAATACTTAAGAATACTGAGATATCTTTATGTATCATTTAAGAGTCCTGATAAGTGCACTCATTTACTCCTGTTTTGTCATTGCAATTTATGTTTTCTGTCTTTCTTTCACCAACAGTTCATTATAAGAATAAAAATAATTTAAAATTACTGTGTTGTTCAGTGTGTAACAATTGAGTGTCTGTAATATGATGAGCTAGTTTCCTAATTTCCACTAATTCACAGATGTTCAGTAGATCAATTTTTGGAGACTCTCAAACTATTCTGTTTTCAAAGGAGAATATTTTAAGTAATTTTTTCATTATGTGGTAAAAAAAAATACACAAATCAGTGTCTATTTGTGTATAACTGAGTCACTTTGCTATACAGCAGAGATTGGTACAACCCGGTAAATCAACTATACTTCAATTAAAAAAAAACTTAAAAAAGTACCAAGCAAAATATCAATGTTGAATTTAATGATTGAGTCATCCTTGAATTAGGAAATTTTGACTGGAACACTACTTTTTTCATAGGTTCTAAAGCTAACCCTTAAAAACAC